GTGGCAGAAATTTTCCAAAATTCAGGTCCTAGACCTCAGAGAATGTAGAAAAAACAAAGATTTCTGTGCTTCCTGTAAGAAAATCTTAGAATCATTAATCTTACAACTCACTCCCTAGTTGCACCATGGTGGGATCTCCCGTTTTGAAACACACCTCAGAAAGAATGACAACACATGGATAGAAAGTTAATACTAACAAACATGAAGGAAACAGAGAAGATAGACATAGGACACACATAAAACAGTAGGGAGGAATAAGCACCTTGGCATTTTATAAAACAGTTTTCCATCCTGCCTCTTCAGTAACCAGCAAGAGTAAAAAAAACACCAACAATTTCTTTGGGAAGGCAAGGTGAGTGGCGGGAAATAACACACAAGACTCAGGGAACTTGAAAAACGCACAAGACCTTGAGGAGAAGGTCAATAAGGGTATTATCCTATTTCTTATGAGTAATTCATAGGTAAAGGCTCCTCTGCACACTAGTTTACTTTTGCACACTCTGCACTATGATGTCCAGTTTCTCTGCTTTCCACAAAAATAAACCAATGGTTAAGAAAAAAAATCTTTCTTTGGAGGGCAGCTTGTTACAGAACAAGTAAATACCCAACAGGTTACTTTCAAAAAGTCAAAGGGAATTTTGCCTGATAAAAGATTAGAAAACTTGATCCAGAGTTACTACCTCCCACATCATGACCAGATGACAGCTTGGCGGGCAACTGCCAGTTATATGTAACACACCGTAAAGATTGTGCTTCCTCTTAGTTCCTCTCAGGCAAGTATCAGAGTCCTAGGTAATGTGTACTTGTGCTACGTGTCTGATTTCAGGAGGTTGTACAATAGCAGAAAAATTGTGCTGGACTCAATACTTCTCGATACCTTACGTCTACCATGCTTGGACACAAGTAGTGGTTCAATGGTGGCCACCTCCAAAAAAACACCTCAGAAATTAAAAAGTCAGTATTGAAAATTTGGGCAGTAAATGATTTCAAAATGTTATAAGCCAGTCAGTGGAGTGATCACTCACCAAAAGAATACTCACTACTCTTTTCCAGGTGCCTTACCCATTGTTTCCAAGCACCAAAACACTTAGAATGCATTCAAAGTACACAAATGCTTTCCCTTCTCACTCACTGTAATTAATTATTTTTATTGACGAATTACAGGAAGATTTTATGGCAACTTTTTTTTTTTTGAGAGAGTGTGCAAATTTTCACATCAACATAAAAAGAAAATATTACAGCAGTCAGTTGCTTTTAAATTGCGCCCCAGAGCAGTCAGGAAATCATAGTCAGCTCCTTTGGTGAAAGCCAGTATTTCAAAGAATGTTAGCCTGGGTTCCTGAACATCCTTGACAAATTTCTCCAGATACTGATCTTGGCCAGGGGTGAGAAGCAACTATTGATATACCTGCAGCTAAGGGAGTAAACAGCACAAAGGCAACGCTGACTCCATCTAATTTATGTTCTTAGACTTTGGGCTATACAGGCCAGAGCAGGTAAGGAGCAGGCAGAAAACTTCAAATGAAACTGTATTAATTACTGCTGAAATAAGGATTCATTATGGGTGGGATTTTCAATATCTTGATGATCTTTTTCAAGTGTTTTCGTGGTCTGAAGAGTCAAAGGTTGTGAGCAAAATGGCTCACAAAGATCTTCTAGGAAGAACTGGCTAGCATAATTCTCCAATAAAGAAAATAATTTCCATCTTCTGCATCCCCAAGTAACGTATTTGTCCATCTTGATTACATTTTGTTATCTATAGCTTCGAAAAAAAAAAATAATCTTCAGCTTTACCACTGTATTCCAACTATGTACACAGTCTACATATACTATCAGACTGTTCAACTAGACTTAATATGTGCTAATTAAGCTTTCCATTTTCCAAGCTGTATTTTAATACATTTGGATCATGAAAACAAAGTCTTTATCATCATTAAGCTGATTCAACAAGACAAAATATTAAGAAAGATCCATTTATCATCATCGTAGTATAAATCCTGTCCATCAAACGATAATATAAGTTAACAAATCTCTAATTGTTGCAAAATATCCATTTAGTATAACAAAACAGCATATTTGAATTACTGACTTCAAGAAAAGTTTTATTCATCTTATTTTAATATCTTTAGTTTCAGAGTTCCATGCTAGCAATGGAAAAAAAAATCCTGCTAAAACTTAATAGAGAAACGAAATACAAACCAAGCATTCTGTGTGTTACTACCTTACAGTGATCATCTCCACTACATACGTTATGCAAAACTGCCTTTTGAGCTAGTTATGCTGTTATGCTGGCATATGCAACTTAGAATATATACATATGTGTGTGTATGTGTACATACACACTCGCTTTTGTGTTGCTTAGAAGAAAATCTATTTGTCAACTATTAAATCTGTGTGCAATAAAAGAAGACATCTCCTAGAAAGATACCAACTCCTGTACCAACAGCTAACACAGTTTCTTTTATTCAGGTGTTGTTGACCTTCCAAATGTTCTAAAGTCTCAAACTTATAACTTTGCTACTTTTGGTATGCTGAAAAGTTAAAAAAACATTATGTCCTTAACTACAGTATCTCCTATTTTGTGCATAAGGGAAGAGATCTTGGCTTTTCCATAGTCAAAAACCATACTGATTAGGTAATAAATGTACCCCTATAGTTATTCCCATAGGCCTTAATCATGCTGAAACATAACAATGTTTCTTACTATTCTCTTTGCATTGTCTATTTTCATAGACACACGGAAGGTTGAAAAAAGCTTGACAAAAAAAGATGGATGTCACCAGCACAGAATCATAATAATTATCAAAAACTTAGTAGGGGTAACAATTTAAAGGTGGCTTCCCCTATGTCAAGGGCCTGCACCCATTGCAGTTTGCATGCAAAGCTAAAGGCTAGAATGACCTGAGCAGTTAGAGCAACACCAAAAAACATCAAGCTGAAAGTTCTACTATTACATTGATCTTAGTGTAAGCAGGGTTCTCTTCAGAAGCGCCCCAAATCTTTGGTCTTACTCCTCATCAAAGTTAAAAAGTATTTTCTCCACTGTCATCCACTTCATTAAATATCTGTCATGACAGACCTAAGGGTTTGAAAGCACTATCCTTATCAAGGTTCAAGTAGCAATTTAAGAAACTAGAGAACCAAACAGTGACTGTTTTAAGGGATACACAATGAGCCCAGAGAAGAAGGATAATTGCAGCAATCCATCTGACATTCAGAATCTAACAGGAGTCATTAGCAACTCCTGACATGCCTGTTTCAACTCTTACATAGAACTACACACACTGAAACTACCATGGTTACTACACAGAACTACAATGGTTTCAGTGAGACTAGCACCCAATCCTTCAACTGTATATATTTTTAAACAGATGTCTACTAATTTGAAATACTAGAGATAACCTCAGTGCCAAGGACATCAGCAGCACATTTCATTCAATCAAGATTACTCCTGCATAGCACATCTCTCCATGAGCCTCTGTCTCTGCCCGTCAAGATAGAGACCTTAAGTAGCTAAATTCAGAAGAGGCCATATCTAAAAATCCACATGCCTTGCATTGTGTAGTCATCACCCTCTGTCTAGTTTGACCTTGGATTTTGCTGAGTGCATGCATGTGACAGTGCTCCTCTGCCAATGGCTCTCCTCAATATCCTCTTTCTCAAATAAAAAAAAAAAACCATCCCATAACATGGCAAACTGATCCTGGTAACCATGACTTCAGAGAGCTACAATGGCCTGGAAAAGTGAGGAATTAAAAAGTAATGACAAAATGAATGATAGAGCGAGAGAAGGAAAACATGAAGTGTTGGACAGAGGGACCCCTTTGTAATGTAAAACAACATTCTACATATTTAGACAATGGAAAATGAAAGAAGGAATAAAGTAAAAGAAAGAGACCAATAAGAAAGTAGAGGTGACAGAAAAAATATCATGATAGAATAACGAAGAAGCAGAGTCCTCCTCTTTGCTAGCCCTGTCCAGGCATATCTGCTGTTGCACTGGCAAAAGCAATCATTAACAATTTGGTCATAACAAAGCCACTGCCTTCTCCTTCATATAATTTCTCAACCAAAGGCAAGAAATTGGGCTAACAGTTGCATATCACCTACATGATTAATAAAATTAAATACCAGCAAGTTGGGCTTTTTCCTAAAAGGAATGCTGCAGAATGACTAGTATTAGATTTGAGATGGGAGCAACCAAAGAATGTCCTGCTACTTGTACTAAAACAAAAAGTCAGACTAGATACACAGGTCCTTCAAGTCCTAAGAAATTATGAAAAAAAGGCATTCCCAAAGTTACAAGTAGGAGACTATTTGATGCAATGCACACTTTGAAACATCAAAATATCATTGGAATGGTATTATGGGCCATAATACAAGGTATATTTTAAAAAAAAAATAACAACTGATGTTTGTCAAAATAATAGTTAATGAAAGAGTCCTCTATTTTCCTCCTTCGCTGACAACAACAAAAAAGGAAAAGACGACACGTCCATGAAAAAAGAATATACTGTGTTTATGCCAGGAAGAAAACATACACATCCCCACACAGAAGCAAAAGTAGCTTAATTGCTTAATAGCTTAATTGCTGAATCTCAAAAAGAAAACATGTTATTTTAAAATGTTATAAAACATAGTGAAGCAGGAAACATGCAAGTTCAACTTCTGTGAAAAAGCAAACTCCAAAGTGCATACAATGAACTAGTACGGGAAATTGCATTACAAGTTTTCTAACTTCCAAAGAGCATTGCACCAATACTACATTGGTTTTGATCTTTCAATTTAAGTTATTTTACAGACCAGGACATAAAGAACACATTCCTCCTGCAACAAAAATCAACTAGTAAAAAGTAGCAAATTGCAAACTACGAAGAAAGGCTTTAACTTACATGTCAGTTTGTACATCTGCCATTTCAACACATAGTCAAAATGGACCACTGAGTGCTCAGTATCTTTAATGCTGCTACTGCTACAAGAGAGAAACAATTTCCTCTTACCTGTGCTCTAACTCTCGGATGGACAGTATAACTCCAGAAGTGGATGCCTTCTGTTGCAGGGTGGCCAGAAACGTGAACTCACTTTTATTCCGGAAGAGCTGAATTAATTTCTCACTCACATGGGGCGCCGCATGGATTTCTCTTTCTGTATCTAAGAATTTCATTGAAAAGAGAAAAAAAGAAGAAAACAACAGTCTAGTAAAAATGCTAAGTCAGAAAGACTCAGATTACATTTTTCATTTTCCCATCAATATTTTTCATTTTTGAGAGTCATTCACCATGCTCCACCACTGCATTTGTTCCATGAAAAAAACCCAAATGCCATCTCTGTCAGCATGCCCACTTGTCACTTTGACAAGTTCACAACTGGTCAGCTACTGATTTTCTGACAGAATTTTTAACGGGATGCTGAGCCATTTGTGTCTGCTGTGAGTAGATTAAGTTGCTGTAAATAAAGTGTGCTGCAGTCAGATAAATAGGCTCCTAAATTCTGAGAAATCTCAGGCACTGCCTCTCCCAACACAATTCACCAAGCTCAAATTTCAGTTTCTACCACTGGCTCCGTTACCACCTCTCCGTCGTACATCAGAGGAAACCTGTCCTTGCACTGTGTAAGGCAGAGATGTATTATTGCTAATAATGCTATACGGCTGTGCTTCTACCCAAGAAATAAATACAAGACACACTTGCAATCCACTATCGTTTCACGGATTTCTCAGTTTAAACAAGCAAAGCGTGACAGCTCATACAATATTTATTAAACTACCATCTGACCAGGCAGATCCAGAAATATTTCAGTCTCACTAATCCTGCTGATGTCCAAACAGCAGCATGCCTTCTTGCATTTGATCTTCTAAGATTCAGATGTGCAGTCTCCCACCACATTCATTGTTATCTCACCCTTTTATTCGCAATATATCATCACCGCAAAAGATGATTAACGACAAAAAGGAGAAATCACGGCATTTCACCTTCCCACTCCTTGCCATGTCTCTCATGCTGGGCCTTTGTCACACATTTGCAAGACCTGTGCCACTTTCGGTTCCTGGATGTCACAACCAATTAGAAGCCCGGTGCGCTTCCTTTCGAAAGGTTCACTTTGAAGCCAGAAATGCCGGCACAAATTCTCAGCTGGCAGAAAACCATATACCTCTACTGAACCCTGAGAATCCAGCCCAGCATGAATGCTGTAACACACAAAGGAGCGATGAGATTTACAATTCAGAATTTTACTGCAGGAAAAAAAGAAAAAAAAAAAACAAAACAAAACATTGTGTCATTAAATGAGGCTTTGCAGGCAAAGAGGAGAGACTGGTTTGAAAAACAACCTGAAACTCAGAAATGCAAACACTTAGGGAATGCCATGGACTGAAACCAAACTCCAAGGAAAAAGTATTCAAGCATGTTTTGTAATTGGGTGTCTCCATTTTTCCTGTGCAGCTTAAAGCCCTTCAAATGAGCCTGCATGCTCAGAATCCGTAACACGCTTGCACTCTGAAAAGCTCACCTCTGAAAAGTACTGCAGATTAGACATGAAAAATCACTAGTTATCATTTAAAAATCTTTGCCAGAGGCTCAAATTCACCTGATAAATAAATATAATGCCCATTTCACAGCAACAAACTATTTTTCTGTCCAATGCCACTTATCACTGCCGAGGACAAAGCTTCAAAAAACACAAATCATTTCCACTGCCATCCGAAAGGGGAACCAAGGAAGAAGCAACGCAGCACAGACAACCAGATTTTGTCTTTATCTACAAGATTTCATTATCTGTATCATTATCATCACCTAACAAGTGTTATTACTGGTCATAAATACTATCTAGTTTCTTTAAAAAAAGCTGATGAAGGAGACACAAAACTATGCATCCCATACATCAGTTAAGTTCTCTGATACCCAGTTCACTATGCACACAGACAGACAACCCACTGGTACAAAGCGTCAAGGCTAAGTGTCAAGGTACAAAGTAAGACTAAGAGATAAAATGTCCAAGATCTGACAGTTTAAGATAATTACCCTTGTTTTGAGGGTGAAGAACCTTTAGTACCTTACAAAAGTTTATCTTTTTTTTTTTTTCCTTAAATGTATCACAATCACCAGAAATCAAACATGACTTACCAAAGCTTTCAAAAATTCTTTCACATTAAAGCATTGGCAGTGCTGCCAGTGGAACATAGAACCATAGAATGGTTAGGGTTGGAAGGGACCTCAAAGATCATCTAGTTCCAACCCCCCTGCCATGGGCAGAGAAATCCTCCACTACACCAGGTTGCCCAAAGCCTCATCCAACCTGGCCTTGAACACTTCCAGGGATGGGGCAGCCACAACTTCTCTGGGCAACCTGTTCCACTGCCTCACCGCCCTCAGAGTGAAAAATTTCTTCCTTATATCTAATCTAAATCTGCCCTCTTTCAGTCTAAAGCCATTGCCCCTTGTCCTATCACTACACGCCCTTGTAAAAAGTCCCTCTCCAGCTTTCCTGTAGGCCCCCTTTAGGTACTGGAAAGCTGCTATAAGATCACCCTGGAGCCTTCTCTTCTCCAGGCTGAACAGCCCCAACTCTCTCAGCCTGTCTTCATAGCAGAGGTGCTCCAGCCCTTGGATCATCTTCGTGGCCCTCCCCTGGAATCGTTCCAGTAGCTCCATGTCCTTCTTGTGTTGGGGACTCCAGAGCTGAACACAATACTCCAGGTGGGAGAGCTGAGTAGAGGGGCAGAATCACTTCCCTCAACCTGCTGGCCACGCTCCTTTTGATACAGCCCAGGATACGGTTGGCTTTCTGGGCTGCCAGCGCACATTGCCGGCTCATGTTGAGCTTCTCTTCCACCAGCACTCCCAAGTCCTTCTCCTCAGGGCTGCTCTCAATCCATTCTCCACCCACCCTGTACTTGTGCTTGGGATTGCTCCGACCCACGTGCAAGACCTTGCACTTGGCGTTGTTGAAAATTTCAGTCAAGTCTTGCAAAGTCCAACATTTTCTCGTTAAAGGGGGATACAGATATAATGTCACATCCCAACATCTATCCATCAAATTTTATACAAAAATATAGGACTCATTGGTCAGATAATCAATGCATTGACTACTTTAGTTAGAAACATACTTTGAAATACCGTGCTGTGCTCTACCACCTCTTCATAGTCATGAATACCCCAAAACCACATGCAACATCTTATATTGATTCTCTGTTGATTAAAACCACTAAGATCTAAAGTTCTGAAATTCCAGAATCTTGGATTCAAACCACTAGATAACAAATAGTATTTACGTACCGCTTTGTAATGCTATTCTAGTATAATTCATACAAAGGAAGTTATATAACTAGCCTTTTTAAAATTAACACACTTCTAAGTATGGTGCTATTCATTCAGCATAGGTCTACTCACTACCAGTGCCTAGCAACACCTCATCTACCACGAGAAAACTGGAAAACATACTTGCAGATGAAAAAATGCCTACAGAAATGCTGTTCTTCATTACTCAATCTCAGTAACTATGAGGAGAGCGCCCCAGCAATTCTGTGACGGGACAGCAAATGTGACCCAATAGCCTGCAACTGGAATTGCAAGCTGAGGAGCCCACTGAGGCTCACGAGGATCCAGGGGCATGCAACTTGGCCCTACCAAGATGATAAACCTGTCGGCGTGCTAAGAACAGCCCCTGAGGTCACAACCTGGAGGCCGAATGCTGGGAAGGAGCCGTATGAGGCCTCGTTGAGGGCATGGCCGAGCTGGCACTGCATCACCCCAGCTCCCGTGCCCCATGGGACAGCCCCCCTGCACCCCTCTGGCAGCACCACTCCTCATGCCGTGCGATTGCCGGGTATGTCATCTGTTTGTGTTTTGCTCGATTTCTGCAGAAAGCACCATACAAATGAACTGGGAGTATGATCTATTTAGAATAAGAGCTTTCTATTTTCAGGTTGATTTTCACACTTCAAAAAAAGAAAAATTGAGAATACATACACCCCCTCACCACAGGTGCCTGAAAGGGAAAATACATTTTATGCTCTCCATAAAAATAACTGTCTGCTCATAATGAAATGTCGTATTTCCTACATAATACAGAACAATATAGGTTTATACAGTAATCTTCAGTGAAACATCAGTTCATGCTTGAATGATAACGCAATCTCAGCAAAATAAATAAATAAATAAATATAGATACGACTTTCATATGCCCTTCTATGTGATTATATTTTCTTAATTTGAAATACTGACTGTCTGGAGGGGTTTTTTAAACATACCAGAGTGTTTCCAAAATAAAACAAGCAAAAAAAGCAAGCATACACAGCTATTTGAAAGTACAAGAGACACAAATCATCTCAGAGCATCAAATAAAGGCAACTTTGTACCTTCAGCGAAACAGAGAAGCAGAAGGCCCATCTAATGTCAGAGAGCAAGCATATTTGTTGCTTGATTTTAATTCCCTTTTTTTAAGCCACAGATCCAAGGACTAAGTGCCAAACACAAAGCAACAGTGCAGCTTGCCAGGACAGCCAAACCCATTTAACCCCTGCCACTACACATTTCCCTGCCCCGTGCCATCTCCCCCGTGTTCCCAGGGACACCACCTTGTCTTCTCCTGGCTGCTTTGTCTCACATGAGCTTATTCAGCCCCCAACCACCACAGCTCTACCAAGGCAAAATGAGCTATGAGAGGAACCAGCAGCCAGGGCTACACTTATGCAGGGACTTAGCAGCTATGGCATGACTCTGGCTGGGCTCTGCAGAGGAAGACCACAGCACTCTGCTTAGCTGCAGCAAGCTCTCACACCATCAGCCACCTTGACAAATCTTACCCACAACTGCAATTACTCACGGTATTCACTTTCAGCACTTTCAAAGTAAGTCTCAATTTTGCATTTTTGCATGGATTTGTTTTCATTTCATCATAAGACCAGTCCAGATCAATGGCAATGCTGGTCTGGGGCCAATGATGTCAGGGCAAGCTTTACTTTGCATGTGTGAAATGTACAGGTATTCCAGTACACACCAACCCTACATGAGAAATGGAATTAAGAAGGTACAGTAACTCAGGATCCTTACAAATCTGATTTAGGTCCTCAAGTCCCATGCTCCTGCCTGGGTCCACTGCTCTAGGCATCACTAGCTCCAACAACTAAAAATTAAAACTTCAGGCTTTTGCCACTTGTAGCCCAGAACATACGAGAAGCCTCAAATAAGAGAAAGGGAAAAGTTGGCTTCAGCTCCATTAGAAACAGTGTAAGAAAATTACCACCATGCAGAAGCAGCCAAAATATGTTAGAAAAGAATTATGCTAGTAAAGCAAGCAAAGTTCTTGCCCAACTTACTTTGACAATAGCGTCAACAATCCACGGTACAAAGGGAAGTACGTGACCATTTGGGCTGCAATTTCAAGCAATGAAAAACGTGCACCAGTTCTTACAAGCTGAATCCCAATCCTTCTGGGAAATGGTTACTCTTTAATAGATACTTCCATTAGAGAAAAATACTAAAATTCAGTTCTAAATCAACTCATGTTTCCTAAAGCAACACATATGTTTCATCATTCCCTAGCCTGCTTGAATACCTTTTCCTTTTACTTCCTTACTTTGGTAGGGAACATACTGCAGAACACATTGCTTTATTGGTACCTTCAATCATTTTAAAGCCTTTTTTTGTTTCAATTTCCTTTCAGGAGAACCTTTGCAGAGTCACTCTGGACAAACAAGTAGAAATTAGCCCTGCAACAACAGAGAATCTGGATTTCAGCTATAGCAATTAAAGAATCAAATATTGCAGCATATTGGGTTTTACCTTGCTTCAGGCAAAACCCAATAAAACTGAAATCTGTATTTAAAAAACAAACAAAAATGCAACCACAGTGCCCATTTTAAGTCATCAGCTTTCCAAAAATGGAACCAAGAGTGGAAGGAAGATCCAAAACTAGCAACTCTCAGTGTAGACAGTCTCTAAAAGTTGCTCAGGATGAAAATACATGACAGTGTCACAAAACCCTACTGCTCAATGAAGGCAGGTGCTTCATCAAAGTCTTTGAATCCAAGTGGGATCCAGTATACAGACTCCTTTCTGCACATTGGTCCCACAAATCATCTTTCAAAGAACTGATCAAAAGAAAAAAACAACCACCTAAAACACCACTGGTGATAGATGCCCACTCCTTCCTGCTCCTCTAAAACCACTCCTCAGTCCTCACAAGTCACAAACAAATCCAAAAGTTTGCAGAAGGATGCTAATGGGGGCCAGCCACGGGGATCTTCTCCAGAAAGCAATCATTTACTGCCAAGCAGGGAAACACTTCAGGTAGTTGTCACTCCCTGTCTAGCAAGGGCAAAACGCAGTTATCTGCAGATAGCACCGCTTTTTTTATTTTAAGCCATGGGGAGAAAATTCGCACGAATTTCTCCTTACACACAAACAAAAAAAGACTTTGCAATATGTTCCTGTCACAGGAATAGGCACAGAGCCATGTGTATCCCTGAGAGCACTTTCGGTGCTCAATCTGGCTATCGGCATTAAGGCTCAAGACAGCCCACACTACACTGCAGAGACCCACCAGCCAAGCAGCAGCATGCCTAGACATCTCCTAAGTACAGACTCAAATTCGTCCACCATGCCTGCCACTGGCCAAGCCACACTAAAACATAGGGTTTAGGAAGCTGTGGGGTACTGCCAAAGGAAAACAAACACGAGCTTACATTAAAGTGCTGAGCAGGAACCACGCTGCTCTCTGGGGACCCCTGCACTGGAACAGCAGGGACCAACAATGCCTGTTCTACCCACCAGCAACCCAAAGAGAGGGGAGAAAACACCTCGCCTTTCTCTTAAAAACTATGCTACTAGGGAGGACCAAAGAGGGCACGATGTCTTCTCACAAGCACATCGCTGCTTCTAGGTATTCTCACCGGTACGAAAAGACATTGTAAACGCTGTTGTCTTGCTAGCTTTGCTAGGAGTCAGTAATAAACAGTAGGAAGTCATGTTCAACAGCACGGCTTTCTAAATTATGATTATTCATTATAAATCACTTTTTACGTGTTGCTTCAAACACTGTTTCTCAAGAATAAGATCCGTCTGCAGTGAAATGCTTGGTGATTTTAATATGCAAACCTCCTACAGAGATGATGTCTCATTTTAATTATTGTTTCGGTTTAATGGGTTTTCATTAAATTAGAGGATGGAGCAATTACCAGGGTGAATAGCTAATGTTACAAAGGTAAGTTCCCATGACTATACAGCAAAAGCGGTTCTGCTAGAGAAGGTGGAAAAATAGTATAATTCAATGTAAACTCTCTTTTTGCATGATGGCTGTAAGTGTTCATACATTGCTGTCATTTTGATGTACATGTTTGTCAAGTAGTTTACGACTAGGTCTCTCGTAACAAAATTAATCTAGCATTTAAAATTATATATATATTTCATTCCTTTCAGGAAGCTATTGCAAACCCAATCCTAAAACTCCAGACGCCAGGGACAGCAGAATTTTAAGTCATTAAAGAAATCAAACAGAGACTCCTTATCAAATCACAGTTTCTCCCCAACCAATAATTTAGTTGATTTAGCGGCTTAATGTCAGACTCTCCACTTCTTGAAAATTGGCCCGACTTGAGCACTAGCTAGAATGACCACACTCATGTTAATTAAGTAGTTGTCAGAGAGTCTAAGTCCTTTGTTTGCTTTATCAGCATTTCAAACCGAACCATGGAAATTGAGTACTCTGGAACAAACAGAGCAGCAGATATTGCACAAGACTTGGAAACGAATACATGACAAGACAGAAGGCGGCCACCTACATTTCTCAAGCCCCAGCCAGCAAAAGGTCCCCTAGGTGACAGAGAAAGCTGTAGCAAAGCCTCTACTGAGAGACTGACCCTCTTTAGCTGCATATGGGTTTCCTATCTCTAGGGTCCTTGTCTTTTCCATCCCAACGGACAGAACGACCAAGGAAAGCGTCAGAGTCATCTCTCCAGCAGCAGAAGGATGAGCAGCAGGTCTGGACACACGCAGATGCAGCGACCAACACTGTCTTCAAACCATTTGGCCATTATGAAGCAAAATCAGAAAACCAGAGTAAGTCAAACGGGTTTGCAACAAGCTTCCTGCCAGGAACAGCGCTGCTCTCCTTGCTGAGCGCTACGTATCACCTGTTGTTACTCAGACACCCACTTTTCCTTCTTTCAAGTATTTTAAGTGGCTCTGTTGTTTCCTCAAGAGACTTGTGCTGAAATCAAGACTATTTACAAATGGATGATCCCTTAAATTAAATGCTTGGTAGAAACGCTCCAGAAGTTACACTACCACTAAAAGCACATAATTTGCTCTTAAATCATGTGAGTTAATCAAATTACATGCGTTGTTAGTTAATTAGTTCAGGAGTCACTGATTATAACATCTTTTCCACTGTTTATCTGTACTAGATAAGGTATCACATCACTGTGACTATAAAGTTAGACTGATATTTGCAAATTTGGAAAATAGTAACAACATTTTAACACAAAGAGCATGGACTACACTAGCAACACTGTCATGTACGAACAGAGCCAGCGGCAACGTATGTAACGTTGGGAAAAAGCAGTAATTACTAAGAATCGTTACCGATATGCAGCCCATTTTGCAGGAGTACT